AGAAGCTTTCAGATTTCCATGCTTGAGTAGTAGCTCGGTCATGGTGCAGGAGACGGATGTGGTGGGCAGCCCTGACTAGTCACTGAATTAAGATTAATTAAATAATTTGAACACCAGTGGTCTAAACCACTGTGGGGCAGCTTTGAAATTTATTATTTTCCTTTCAAACCACTGGCACACGTCCCAGAGGACCATATCAAGAAGCCTAACAAATCAGGTTGTTTCTTTCTTTTGAGTGAGATCTCAATAACTGCTCACAACTGCCTTATAAAGTCACTAAAAATCCTATTTAGTTCATCCTACATGGGTACACTCTGTCTGACATGTTGTATAACAATTCCACCCATTACTCGATACGGTGAGGTTTGATTGTTTTAAGCAGTGATTCTTTTCTGCTTCCCTGGGGGTAGGCACATCCTGCTTGGAAAGGACCCAGTGTCTGGTTTTGTTGGTTACTGAGATCATATTGTACGCTTGGCACTTATGGGCTTCTCCTGGTGCAATTCTCCTCGCCAGACTTTAGGCTTCTGTAACATAGTTCACATATGAGCTAATCGTTCCAGAGTTCCTTTTTAAACAGGAGAAAGAAATGAGCACCTGCAGCAGAACATGTTTTGCCAGAGCTTTTCCCACCTGCCCTTGAAGTACCTATGATTCACCTCGAGGTAACACAGAGAACCTGCTGTAGCACCGAAAGTGTCTACAGTGGACAAATGAATCCACCTTCATAGATGATGTATTACTTAAATCATTAGCTAACCAAAACGAGTGTATTATTTTTTTCTTCCTGTATTTCAACCATGCTTGAAATAATCCCCTGAAGCCCATTCCATTTCAATAACAATCAGCTGATTTTCAGATTCTCAGAGACTTCAACAACCCTTCTTTTTCACCAGAGATAACTGAAGATTTTTTTTTTATATCGGAGAACTGAAACATATGCATAATTAAAAAGTACAACCTCCATGCTATTGGCTATTCTAACTTCACTAATTTTAATTACAGTAGCAGATGCAAATAAAACAACAACATGAAGCACCAGTATCTCTAATTTAGTAATGAAATTACAGGATTTGGCTATCAGTGACATCAGAAGACAATATGATAATTCAAGCTTACCTTCCAAATCCTGTATTCATAGATTTATTTATTTTCCTTGAAATGGAAACGGTAATATTTTATTGCCTGTATTTTTAAAAAGTTCATTTTTTCTAGTAAAACATAGCTGATAGTACCTGTTTGTGAGATAACTAGCCTTTTGCTGGTAATAGGTAGACTCTGCACCTGTGTGTATCATAAGTACTAGGAGCTGCTAAACAATATATATAGGTTCTGCTGCAGGTCTGGCGCATAGGTTCATGGAACTGGTAGTTGTTATTACCTAATAAACACTTCAGTCTCTGTGGACAATATGAAGACCTCAGCCCAGTTTTTGATTCAGGTTTCCATGACTACCTTGAAGGCAAAAATGAAGTCTATTCTTTTACTTTCTCTGTAAAATGTTAAAGAAAGGCAATGAAATGGTTTGCAGATGTTCTTGCTGTCTCTTTAGAAGTTCCTTTGAAAATAAGACAAAAGAGAAAACATCCACTTTCCACTTTTCAAACCTAGTGAATGCTAGGTTAAAGTAAAACTGGGTCTTCACATATTGCAAAGAGCATATTCTATATTTTACCACTTTCCCACGGGGTACCTGTCCATCTGTTTACTCAAGCATTTCCCACCCTTCCATTGTATTTAAATCGCATTTCTGCACCGTATTTAAATCTGCATTGCAGTGGCAGAATCCAAGCATAGAATTCAATCTCCACACCACTCTGGCCCTTCTGGACTGGCCTGCACACAGGAGTGCAAATGATCAAGAAATAATTTCAAGTCCAATGTCTGCTAATGTGTCTGTCTGGTTTTCTGTTGCCTCTGTTAGTAGAGTGACTTTCCTTTTCCAAATCCTCACTGCCGAATGTCACCACGGATGTTTGCTGTCCTCCTCAGCTGAGATAGTATCAGTCCCTCATTATTTGATAAACCATCAGAAATACATTTAAGTAATTAAATTCAGTACCAGAGTAGGGATAGAGTGACTGATTGAGTGAGGATGGAAGAAAGCAGATCAGTTTAGAGGGAATTTTTATAAATCTTTCTTCTCCATTTAGTCAGGGTCTGGATAGAGAAGACAAAAATTTAGAGAGAGCTAATTTTCCTTTTTTATTTTTTAATTGGAAGGCTCTATACTTTCTAAATGCTGATATCTTAGCAATATGTTACAGTCGGTATAAAAGTTAAGTCTCCCCTGATTATAAAATTTCTCTTACATTTTCCTTTGTCATTCCTTTATTTACTTTCTGTCTTTGGTCTGTTTTCTTCTCAGTCTTTTCTCTTTTCTTATATTTCCTCACATTCCCTCTGATAATTTAAATGTTTTTTCCAATATACCTTTACTTTATTATTTTTCTAATTGTTTGTGTGTCTTATATCCCTGATTTGTTATTATCTATGATCCCTTTATTTTCTTCTCTCCAACATTTACTCATCTGTTTAAACACTTCTCTAGTTGTGAAGATGTATGTCAGGTGTGTTTATGCCTACGGAGGTGATAGGTGGTGGCATGTAGGAAACCTACATTAGAGAAGAAGATTTTAAAAGGGGCCTTGGCATTCAAAGGCTTCATTTACGCTTGGAAATACAGCAGATGAGACACAGTTCTCTGGCTCTGAGACAAACTGGTGTGGCACAGTTCATGCCCATGGGGCTAAAATCTCATACCTTCCTAAGTGAAGAGTTTGCGGCTAAACTACTGCAGACATCGCCAAGGGACCTCTGGCTGAGCTTATCTTAGAGGAACTAGATCCATAGGGTAGAGATACGCTGAAGGGGTGTGGTGTGTTAACCTTGGTTGGACGCGAGGTGCCCACCAAAGCCACTCTATCACTCCCCTTCCTCAGCTGGACAGGGGAGAGAAAATATAATGAAAGGCTCATGAGTCGAGATAAGGACAGGGAGGTTACTCGGTTATTACCATCATGGGCAAAACGGATTCGACTTGGGGAAATTAGTTTAATTGGTTACCAATCAAATCAGAGTAGGGTAATACGAAATAGAAACAAATCTTAAAATACTTCTCCCCCACCCTTCCCTTCTTCCCGGGCTCAACTTCACTCCTGAATTCTCTACCTGCTCCCCCTGAATGGTGCAGGAGAACAGGGAATGGGGGTGGTGGTCAGTTCATCACATGTTGTCTCTGCTGGTGCTTCCTCCTCACTTTCTTCCCCTGCTCCAGTGTGGGGTCTTTTCCATGGGAGACAGACCTCCGTGAACTTCTTCACCATGAGTTCTTCCCATGGGGTGCCGTCCTTCAGGAACAGACTGCTTCAACGTGGGTGGCCCACAGGTTCTCAAGTCCTGCCAGAAAACCTGCTTTAGCATTGGCTCCTTTTAGGTCCACAGGTCCTGCCAGGAGCCTGCTTCAGTCTGGGCTTCCCACGGGGTCACTGCCTCCTTTGGGCATCCACCTGCTCCAGCGTGGGGTCCTCCACAGGCAGCAGGTGGATATCTGCTCCACCATTAATCTGCATGGGCTGCATGGGGACAGCCTGTCTCACCATGGTCTTCACTACGGGCTGCAGGGGAATCTCTGTTCTAGCATCTGGAGCACCTACTTCCCCTCCTTCACTGACCTTGGGGTCTGCAGAGTGGTTTCTCTCATATCTTTTCACTCCTCTCTTCCAGCTGCTTTTGCACAGTATTTTTTTCACCTTCTTAAATATGTTGTCACAGAGGTGCTACCACTGTTGCTGATGGGCTTGGCCTTGGCTGTCTTGGAGCTGGATGGCATTGGGTCTATTAGACATGGGGGAAGTTTCTAGCAGCTTCTCACATAAGCCACCCCTGTAGCCCATTCCCCTACCAAAGCCTTGCCATGCAAACCCAGTACTAGGGGATCCATCTCAAGTGAGGGACAACTGGAAAAAGAAAACCAATGAATATGATAGTATATCTCCATGCTAAAACCTGACTAGAGATAGGGCATCGAATGAGACCTCTCTGACACCAAGGTATCAAGATCTGAGGCAGGACTGTGTTTTAAAACGTCATGGAAATTGGATCCAGCCAGAGACTGAGACAGAGAGGTTCTCTTGAATGAAAAACTGATGAATCATCATGATTTGAAGCCAGTGGGAATTTTTAAACACTGTGTTTATGGCAGGAGGTGCTATGATGGAGCTAATGTCTGGTATGCAATTCTGTTGATGTCCTGACCAGCTCTCTAGCTCCTTGGCAGAGACCAAACAACGAAAGTCACAGATATGCATGACACTGTCGCCCATATAAGTCAATCCTGTTTTATGTCATGGATGAATCTTTAGCCTGAAAGTACAATTCATTCCTTTGCAAATATATTGCTGAGTTCTCAAAAAACTATCAGATTATTAACAACTCTAGTCACAGATTTTGTTATCTGGACGAGCGATCTCTGGGAGTAAATCAGCGTGTCATACAGTCTCCTAAAAAAACCCCAGACAGTTGTGGTTTTGAGACACTACTGAAAATCATGAAGGTCAGATAATGAAGCAGACAACTAGGTCCTTTTTCTGGTTCAAAATACTCCATCCTACCTTTTCTGTTGGGTACAATTTAGGTCTTTGCAGCTACAGAACCTGTTTCAGTAGTTTCTGTGATACGAGTTACTGATCATATAGACATGTCCTCTGGCTTTAAATTAAGTATCCAAGACCATTTATAATAACTGCAATCCAAACAAGCGTGGTTGATCTCTAATGTGTACAACTCATAGTTCAAGTATTTGGTTCTCTATTTTCTGTCCATTTCTTTTTCACTCTCTTCATGTTTTCCATATTTCTAATAATTTTCCTCTTTTACTACAGAGATCTGAGCCTTGACGTGAAGACTTTAACCAAAAGATCTGCCAAGAGGGTGTGCTTCAGCCCTAATAATTGTGTTAACAAGCAAAACCTGACTGAAATTCAAAATTAAGAGAGAAGATGGCCATCAGCTGGAAGATCTGCTTCTTCACTCTCGTATTGCTTCCCATGGTAAGAAAAGACATTTTTATTTACATTGATATAAATGTGTTCTCAGGGCCAGCACTTGCTAAAAGTGAAGGGTCTGTTGCTGACACTGACTCTGGCTTTTTCTGTGTGACCTCATAGTTTATGTTAAGACTTTTCTAATCTCGTTTGTGGATGCAATAGAACCGTGATCACTTCTCATCCTGTTAAAGGGGAAGTTAGTTCCTTGAGGGGATTTGCTCACTGTTTGAGATTGAAAAGAAAATAAAATAAAGTAATTAAAAAAAAAAAATAGCGGGGCTCCTGTTTCAAACCCATTGGTTTAAGATTATTTCTTTCCAGGTAGAGGGGATAAAATTAGAGATTCCTATGCTCCCTGTGAAACCTAAAACTTGAGATACTTCAGCTAGTGCTTCTGCATGCCTCCATTTTCAGAGGGCCAATTTTAAGAACCCCTACAAGTGGACCTCCAAAGATACAGCCACTTGAACTCTTTCATCACTTTTCTGAAGCTCTTGGACTCTTTATGAAGATCACAGTCTATAAGTCTATACTAACTAAGTAACATGTTATTTCATTAATCTCTCGGTCTTAACATGTGTCTGGGGATGGTAACTCTATTCCTGTCCACTGTCCCCCTGCGCATTGTGGCTGTATCTAGCCTCACATAACAGCCATAAGACTGCTGAATAAAGCATGCTTTTTCACCTTGTAACTGTGAGCATCGCTGCGTAATCCCCAAAATAAACTCATCTTGCATTTCAACTCAGGTTTTTTTTTGCTAGATCATAACTGTGCTTTTCATCACTTCTCAAGAAGCTTTACACAGAAGGATACTGTAGAAAATAGGATAAGTATTTAAATCCTCTATCTTGTTCTTAATAATAGCCTTCTATAACTTCCATGTAAATGCTTTACAATTGCTTCATATACTGATATTCTCATGTTACTGCACTTTAATAGCCAGGTATTTTAAAGCATTCTTGACATATATTTTGCTTTTATTTTTAAATAAGAACTATTTAATATGTGACCAGAGTATCTTTTAGCAGTTTTTACAGAGTTTCCTTCTTATGTGTGACCTGTCTTTTGCAACGCTAGCGGTCAGTATACAGGGCTCATCTTTATTTTGGCACACAAAAATACATTCTTTCCTCTTAGGTCTTATTTAGACACCACTTTAATTAACTGCATATCTTAAATGTAGCGTTATTCAGCTAAATTCTGTAGAATAGAATTGGAACTGGTAGTATACTTCTGTTCTTCCAAATAACATACTCTCTTACCATACAAATATGTGGTCTTTGAATTTCTTTTTAGTGCATGACTTTTCTAACTATTGCTTAGCTTTTCTGGTCAGTTAGAAAGTATTACGTATTAAAAACATATTTTAATTTTTACTCTGTATCTCTGAAATATATACACCAGACTTCCTCTAAGCTAATGGGTAGGGAAAAACCCTCAACATTTAACCTGTTTTCGATGCTTATGTTAGTATGAGATTGCTGTCTTCCTGACTATAAGAGGAGATAAGCTCAAATTCAGATATTGTGGGTTTGGACATACATTAGATTACATAAACACACCTTGTTGCTTCTGGTTTGAGACCCAGAAATGGCAACTGTCATGTCTCAGTCTCTTCGGAGCTCCCATATCGCAACTAAGCCTGGGACAGCCTCACTGTTTCCTCACCCGTAAGTGTTGGTGAGACACATCCTACACCAGGCGAAACTGGGAAGCAGGTTGGTAGAGCTGCTGAACTTCTGGGGATGCAAACATATCTTTCAGACTGGAAAAAATTAATTGAATAGTCATATGAATGGAAAGGCAAAAGGCATTTCTTTTTAAATGACTGAGATTGTTGGTGTTCAGCTTCAGACAGCCAAAAGGTGTCTTCTTATTTAGAGGTGAACAATTTTTAATTAAGGGAAATAAATGTGACTGAACATATCTCTTGAGCTTTCAGATGGATGACCTTCCTGGCAAACGTAGAAGGACAGCAAGTTTCCAGTTCCTAGCATTTCAGGACACAACTGTGATCACTGAGCTGGATAATTAGTGAACAGCTCCAGCTTTTGGAAAGAACAGCTCTCCAATGAAATACTATGAGGCAAACTAGAGCTAATAAGAACAAATATGTTTTTATATATGCTGTTTCTGCAATGTCTATGAGCTTGTTTATGAGTGCAAGGTTTTATTATAGTCTTCTGCAGGAACCCAGGTACTAAAATTAACACTTTTACACGCATGAACTTGTGTATATGCACACGCGCTTCTTTGGTTGGTGAAGGGACCTATGCCTATGACAGAGTTTGTACCATTATTTGCGTATCATATTCATTCTTTATTACCTCCCTAAAGTTTCTTTTCACAGACTGGAGCTGAGGAATGGTATAATGTTATTTATGGTTCTTCCCTTGCTGGGATTCTTTTGTAATGCTTGTGGTAACACATTTTCTCTCCATTGGGACACACAGTTTCTCTTCAAACCACCTCTAATGGGCTGTGCCGATGTCCTCAAGTTGGTACTTTTCTGTCATGCAGATTTTCAGATTTTCTACCAAGGGAATGGATGTGACTTTTAAAAAATTTAGAGTAAATTCAAATGTCATCCTAGCCTCCAAGATGTGCCTGAAAAAAAAAAATATCTTCTTTTCCATTGTTTCCTCTAAACACAATTAGTACTGTTCAAGAAACCTCCAATTACTCTCAAGGAGAGCTCCTGTTCTCAGCAGTTGGGATTGATCCCCATTTTGTGGCACGTCTCCATCCCTCGCAGTCAGTGTGGCTGCATTAGCTCCTGAACCTGTACACATGCTTGAATCTGCAGTTTTTTGGCTTCAACAATAGACAGACCCAATTTACCCACAGAAAACCAAAGCACTTGGACTAATGCCCTCATTCATAAACAGGAAAAAAGAGGACAAAGTGTATTAATGGAAAATTCTAGGTGGTGTCAGGTATAGACTCACACCAGAAAACAAGAAAATAATATTCTAATAAATAATTAGAAAAGGGCATGTTAAGCTGATTCTAACTGTCAGAGACTGGCGTGGTTAGATTTTTCATGTGTTTAAGCAGGCTGTTCTGCATTTGCCTGTCACAGAGTCATTCCACCTTCTTATTAATCACTTGGGACTGAAGACAGGATCTAGATGCATGAGACCTGCTAGATCTTTTAAAGAAATTCTTGAGCTTTATTTTTCTCCTGGTTTTAAATGCTTTCCTAGCTTTGAAAATCTAAATTGCTATTTTAGACGGTTTTAATCTATTTTTTTTGTTAGCTAGCCTGTTTCTTCTCAGTCACTCTCATTCTTTTCTTTGTTTTGTCTGAACATCTCCTCTTTTCATTTGAACATCAGTTTTCTTCATCCCACCTATTTGCTGCTTCTGAATTCACTTTCACTGCCATTTTGATTGATTTCTCATTCCATTCATCTATGATAGCAGTGGGTGTGGTTTTCTATTGGAAATATTAAGAAAAGTCATCATAAAATTATTGAGGAGGTAGGATCCTAAACCATCGTTCCTTTGTCTGGTTCCAAATGTACTTGAGAAACAATGAAATTCATGACTCACAAAGTTGGCTTAGTGTATGAACTGAATTTTAAATGTAACTGCAATGCAGGTGTTCTAACTGTCTGTAATAATTCAATCAGATGTATTTCTTAGGTTAATACTTGGAATTTCTTGTGGGTGCATTTTTCATATTGCTCAGCTTACGTATTTCAAATGATAAGATATTCATCGTAGTGTTTCATAGCTGGCAAACATACGTTCACTGACTTCCTTTAAAAAAAAAAGAGTCATAAAAAAGAAAGGTGTAAGTGATGCCTCTTGTATACCAACATTGAAGTGTGATCACTGTCTGAGGGTCAGATGGGCAAATACAGATTTGGATGCGCAGACAGCATCTCACAGATCAGAGAGTGAAACCTCCATCTGATTATGTTTAAGCAATTCACTAAGAGGTGAAGAGAGAAACTAGATCTGCTTGCTCAGACACTGTTTACTGAAGGGGGTAATATTTCTTAGTCTTTTAAGGGTATGTATAGTCTACAGAGCAAAGAGCTGTCTCTGTCCTCCATTATTCATCTGGAGCTGTCACTTCCAGTGGCAAGCTACCTTCAAATAGGATCATCTACATTTCAGTCCCTGTCATTTTTTAAAGATGAGAGACAATGTATGCAGACGCACGTTTCTTCTAGTTTTTCTCCAGCCCTGCTGTGTTTATTAGAGCATCCATTTTCTGCTGCAGCCCCAAATGTGAGGTTCCTTAAGCACAAACATAGATGGTTGTGCTCGTCCCTGCTCTTTAAGCTGTCTATTTTTTCCATGCAGGACTTAATGAGACAGCTTTTAACGAGTTTATCTGCATTATGATTTGTAACATCTCATAATGCTATTAGAGAAGTCAAGTTCTCTGTAGTACTGCAACCGTCTCTAACGTAATGCAGTTATGTGGGACTTCCCTCTTACTTATATAATGCAAATACAAACACAGACAAATATAGCTGGGGAACGGTTGGGAATGTTCTCCAGATGAGAAAAAACTCAGCTAGCCGGGACTTTACTGCTGCTATAGCTTTTCCTTTTTAATATAAGGAGGTAATGCTGGGGGCAATCAGCACAATATAACAACTTCTTAAAAGCCTATGTCTTGTTTAAAAAAGGGAAAAAAAAAAGTCTCAGGATGTGCAATATTAGGTAAGGTAGTTTCAAAGAGAAGGTTCAGAATTTCTTGTAAGTTGTGTCACAAAAAACATCTGAGAAAATCAGTGTTGTGAAACAGTGACAGTGTCCTTGATACCAGTCAACTTCAAGCACCTTTCAGAGGCACAAAACTTAGGATCCTCCGTTCCAGACGGTCCTTAGCCTGTCGGCTACGTGGGATAGGTACTTACAGAGAGTGACAGAGTGATCGATAGCTCGAGGCATATCTCCACCTGACATATCTATAAGTCCCTGGGTTCTTCGAAGGAAGCCTAGTGTGGTGACACTCCTTTCTAACATGCCTGAAGCTG